GAAAGCTTTTGCAATTACAATACCTCCTGAGTCACTCATTCAGGATCCTGGGAAAAATAGAGCATTTTTGCTTTCCAGATCTGTTGGGTGTTTGCGTTTTTTTTTCTTTTCTTTTTTTAAAACTTCAAGAAGTGCTTAAGGTTTCTTGTTAAGAGATTTGAAAAATGTATAGTCCTTGTAAATTAAATACTACAAGTTCTTAGATGAGTGATCCCTAAACATTTATAATTCACACTAATACGATTTAATTCTAACTCACTGTAAGATTTATAGAAATTAAAAGACTTCATATGCATAAAGGTGATGAAAATATAATCTAGTTCATGAAATCTTTATATGTAACTTTATATTTCAGCAGTATAGTTATCCCTGGCGCACTCCAGACTTCAGGAATGTGCCACCTCAGGGGCCGTGCCCTGAGCTCGTGCCAAGCCGAGAGTGGGACCAGCTCCCTGCAGCCTGTGTGCCCAGGGGTCTCCCACTGAGACCCGCTGCATCAGGGGGACAGCGGGACAGTTGTCACTTTTGGAGTGCTGGCCTGCGCTTTCTAAAGCTGTAAACGCTTTAGATTTTGCTCCTCTGCCACAGCAAGGGACCACAAATGAACTCGGGACTGGGACAATTTCCTTACAAAGAGAGGAAGCTGCTGGAAGGAAGAATGTGGCCCTGCTATGCCAGAGCTCGCTTCCCCACCTGCAGACTGACTGCAGAGGCTGTTTCTTCACACAGGGATTTAAGAGGCAGGGTTCGAGGAAGAAATTTTTGTTATAATTATGTAGCTGCATTCCCCTCAGCTGGAGTTCTAAGGAACTGGCGGTTTCTCTACCTCATGTACGCTATTTAGGATAGCAAATCAGCACTGCTGGCATTTAACTGTTACCTGTGAGTTGCGAGACCACTGTTGAAATAGAAATGGGACGAGTTCTTTCTAAATTAATTTTCTTTTTTAACTATCAAAGCCACTGCACAGAAAGCTGCAGCAACTTCCGCAACTGTCTTGGTTGCACACCAAGGATTTCACTGAGAACATGTTAGAGGGAATCAGAAAGCAGAGAAAAGGTCACAAATAAGCACCTTAGGAACAATGAAAGCTTTTCTCCATGTAGCAGTGGGAGAGTTGCTAGAAAAACTGAAAAGGTATTAATCAGAAGTGGCTATAAATCCTCTGGAGTTTTGCTCTTATAAAACTCCTCAGAGAAAGTCTTGAAGGAAATGCAGGTCAAAGCCCAAAAAAGCTCTTGATCAGAGATTGCTGGAGGAAAATCTTCCCAGATGCCATTTAATAGGCAGCAATCACCCCAGGAGTGGGAAAGCCAAGTACGCTTGAAACATGGTTGCAGTTCCTAATAGGCCTTGTCACACTTAAGGCACTGCAAGCTCCATCCAACGAACAGCTGAAGCTGGCTGGCGATTCATAAAGCCAACAGTTTAAAGTTTATTATGATGAAAGCACTTAATGACAGCCATCGCTAGGGGCCCATCATTTATAAAGCTGTGCTGAGTATTAGACATGTAGCATGACCACCAATTTTATGTCACAATTGCTACCATAAAATGACCTTTGGTGATTTTTACTGCATGTGGTGGACAGCTCTTCTTTTACATTAGTGCTCTGTGGCTTTTCTTTGCAGACTATTATGCTGTCTAAAGCTTATTTGGCACTGTCGTGAGTCTCAACCCTTGTTATTACCCCGAAGGCCTGTCTAAAGGAAAACTCTCATGTTCTATTATAGCACTCCAATAATTTACAGATCTTACCATCCTTGGTTAGCGTCATAATTTAGTGCAGATATTCCTTCATTGTTACCACATTTAATAAAATCCCTCAGTTTCTACAGAAGGCTCTAAATTTCCTATCCGGGCCACTAAAATGCATATGCCTGTGTATTATGGAGACATGGATAACGGGTTTTAATTTTTTGTTGTCAATTGAAAAGAAGGGAAAGCAATTGCAGTGAACAGTAGTTAACCTGGGAGAAAATCTCCTTAAAGCCTAAGGTATAAATGCTAGACATTGCACAAACACCAGATGTAATTTCAGTGCATAATGCACAAACATACATTTGCATGTGAACAATATTTCTTAATTACCTTTCAATTTTTAGACCGACTTTGTACACTTAGGAAGTGTTTGAATATACCAGCACTTTACTGTCCTGATGTAAAGCATTACCAGTAAAGTGGTCTGTCTATGCTACAACACCTTTAAATTGTATATATAATTTTATAAATGATATAAAATCTGTTTCTCGTCCATGAAAAAACACACTAGCATCGCACACTGCAATCTTGAAAGGATTTAAAATATGTGATTTCTGCTGGTACCTACTGTATTGGGTTTTATATAAAGCTTTTTTCAATAAGGTAAATTGTTACATGACAAACTCATCTTCCACCATTATCATCTGCTGTTTGTGTTTAACAACAGGAGTCCTGGTCTAACAAAACTGTTGTAATGGCTGTACAAATTACTCAGCTGAAAGCTTTTCACCAAACCAAACAGTATTAATCAGCAGTTCTTATGAAGGTGCTAATTAAAAACAATTTTCTTCCTCAGTTTGCAATACCAAGCCATCTTCATTTGCACAGTTTCCAATATACAGCTACTGTATACACTCACACTTCAGAGTCTCTATTAACTATTGAATCTCCTATTACCTATTTTATTACATTCCTGTCTCCCAAGTTTCGAAGCTTGTTGACATTTCAGAAGTCACAGCATGATATGTTTAATCATTTAAAAAGTACATTAATTGGAGTCAGAGTCAGGAAAAATAACAGGTCTTTTCGCACACAGGCTCTGGCAGGGCACAGCACAGTCTGAACGTTCCAATCCTTTCTGCGAGCATAACCCTCACCCAGGGGCAACATTTTACAACTAAAGGGCGACAGTGCCTAATGCAGAGAAACATCATTTTTTTGCTTTTTTTTTTAATAAGCAATCTTCTACAAGCGACACTGTGTTGGTTATCTGCAGGGAAATGCATCCAAAATAAAAGATACTTTTATTACTAAAGGCCTATCGCTCCTTCGCTGTCGTCAGCCACAACAGCTCTTTGTTTTTGGGGGCTTGGCATCTGTTGAGTTTAACCCAGATCCGAGGGTCAAGATGTTTCTTCTCAGGCTGTGGAATGCCATCTGGACTACCGCTTCGTGCATCTTCCCTCTGCTTTCCACACACTTTACACACAGGAAGACAATGAAGATCCAATACTGCTGTTGGACAGCGATGGAAAATATCCAGCTTTTACCCAGACACAACAATATGCTGGGCTTTTTGGCAGCAAGCCAGCTGCTGACTAAGCAAGGAGCTGTAATAGGCTAAACCCTTTAAAAATGGGAAAGAAAAGTTAGGTTTGTTACATTCAGCTGTTTGAACAGAGTCCACAGGTCGGAGAGGGAGATGGATCTTGTAGAGGAGATGCAGCACTGGGTCTCACAAAATCTGGGGTCAGTTATAGAGTGCATTGCCTAATTTCTAAATGGCTATAGGCAAAGGAGACAGCAATACTGGCTGTGCCTTAGGTTCCCCCATATGAGGAATTAGGGGGGTCCCGCCTTTACTTACACATTCAGCTGCAAAGTCATGTATTGACTTTCTTTTAGCTTTATGGGATTTCACATCAAAGTGCCCTCATTTTGGCTGGGTTAAGTTAGAACAATCTTTCAAAAGATACCGGTGTGCTTACAACCAATGTTAGGCAACCGATTTGTGACAGTGGAGGCATGACAGTCCATCTTAATCAATCTACCTTAATCAGACTCAGGACAATCTAAAACGTGAATAAAAAGAAAAAAGCAACAAAATTGTTTCTTTCTGAGGAAACAACATGAGATGACAAGGCCGTGCAGAAAACATTTTAGACATAACCACTGATGCATGCTGTCTTAGCACTTTCTACTAGTGTTCCAAAACATTTCACCAGAGTTATAAAGGAATTTGCAGTTTGACATCACTGCTCATTCCCTGATGTAAAGAAGAAGAAAACCACGCATAAAAAACATAAATTCAGGCTAAAACTATGCATTTATAATTTGCCCTGTGAAAACACAAGGACCTAGTTATTCCCCTCTTGTATTAGCAGAGTGCGTAATAAAACACTGCTCTGTTTGACTTGCATGTGTTGCTGCCTTTTCCCTCTTCCCCCTGCCATATCAGCTGTGCCACCTGCCATATCAAGAGGAGGATCAAAAGCTCCACCCACTGCATCCTCTTTTGTTCAGGGAACAGCGAAGGAGAGTTGTAATGGAGATATAACACTTGATAAACCGTATGCAGCCAGGCTTAAGATGTAAGGATGCCTTTGGGGGGGGAAACAATTTTAATCCCGCTTCCCTCCTCACGCAAACATGTAGCCATTAAAGCCTCAGGGAAATTGTAAATGACTTGTCCAATAAGGATTTTGAAGCTGGACTGGTACCTGGGATAGTAAGTTCTTCTGCCTTATCTCACACTCTTTAGACATTTGTCATTTCAAATCAGACTTATTTCCCAAATGTAAAGATTTGTCCCATTATTCCAGAATGTTATCAGATAGGATGAGTTTGTAATTTTTAAGAAAGCCTTTGCCATATCTCAAAGCAGGAAATGGAACACTTTTTTCTTGATCTTTTATATCCTGAAGATCACACAACTTGCTGCCAGTGGCACCAGGTGCATAAGGGCTGTGCCCAGGGGAATGGATGCCTACTTGTCTCTGAGAAAGGAGGAAGACACAACATTGCTGTAAGAACTACCAACACGTGTGAAGGAAAACTTGCATCAGCCTAACATTTCCATTCTCGGCGAAGCCAGCATAGCTCTTGCACAGCATCATTCACCTTCAACTTCTTAACAAACACAAAGTAATTAAGCTCAATATTCTGTAATAGAACACTGTAAACTATATAATTAAAAATATACCAAGTATCAGAGACTAGTTAAAACACCAAATAAAAGGCTCTGATATATTTTATAAGCATGATTTGATAAACTGCTGAACATTTTCTTAGCAAAGATATTTGATGTATTAATAAACACTGTATTTTTATTAAAATTTAAGAGCTCAGAAACAATTCAAATCCCTACTGACACAAGGGACTCTGAGAGATGTCTCTAAAAAAAGAACACTTCTAGTGCCTCATGTAAATACTACATCTGTGACTTTTCAATACCCATGTTAAAACAGAAAAATCAAGAACTTGCTTATATACCTCTAAAAATGTGCACACAGACCAAACCTGCAAGCACTTATGTAGATGAGTAACTTTACTGCCTGTGGAGCTCCAACTTGAGTTTGCAGGATGAAGCCTAAATGCATCTTTGGTAAACAAGCCATCAATTACACACTTTAGGGATCGCATATACCTCTAAAAATGTGCACACAGACCAAACCTGCAAGCACTTATGTAGATGAGTAACTTTACTGCCTGTGGAGCTCCAACTTGAGTTTGCAGGATGAAGCCTAAATGCATCTTTGGTAAACAAGCCATCAATTACACACTTTAGGGATCGCAGCACCTGTGCAAAGCCTTCAACTCAAAGACAGACACTAAAGAAATAAAAAGCAATTATCAGCTACTAATTTGAGTAAAACTCTTTTCTTCTTAGAGCTAAAACCACAATTTTCAATGATGCTGCTTCTATTTTTGGCAACTAACGATCTTTATTAGATTACTGTACAGCAGACATTCAAGCCCTCTCAAAAATAAAAGGTTCACAAATTTTAATATTGAGCTATTTTTCACACTGCTTTGTTGATTATGAAGATGTCCTTGTACATGTTTTTAGAGAAACAAAGACACTGCTGTGTGGGACAAACAAAATGAAACTAATTAAACTAAAGCCATCTTCACAGCAATTTCAAATTACTCCTAAATGCTTTTGATTTCTTACTAGACAAGTATTTTCCAATAGGAGTTTGAATATGAAACTCATACCAGCTATAGCAGGGACATAGTACTCAGTTCTAGGATAAATGGTTGGTTTGCATTGCCCCTGGTCTTTATCTAACACCGAGAATAGGCTGCTTTTTATCAAAAGAGGAATAAATTGCTGTTATTGTGATGTTAGCCCATCACTTGGCATTGCAATTCAAGTTTTTGTGAGAAAGAAATGTATGATCTAACTGCGACTTGACCTATGCCTTCTGAGATCCATCTAGGTGCTCTAATGGAGCATAAAAAGTACTGAATACAAGGACATGCAAACCGGTAGTGAAGAAATCTGTTTGAGAAGAAGAACGAAGAGAAAGGGACTTTCACAAGCTTGTGGTTTATGTACTGTCCAATTTGTTAAATATGGAAGAATGCTTATTCCCGCATTGCAGTTCTTTTAATTAATGTACTTCAGCATGATTCTCTACACTTGCTTGCATCTAGTACCTTCCTCTCCAAGTCATGGCCTCTGCCTCTCTCTTTTTTCAACATTTTAAAAGTGTCGCGGTTTAAGAGACTGTTTCTGAGAAGTCATTAAAATGGTCTGTTAAACTGTTAAGAAAATCAGATATTGCTCCTGTTTCTTTATAGGATTTTTGTCTTTCCAAGAACAAGACAAATCACATTAAATGTTTATCAAAAATGTGGGCCACAATATATCCCAATATAAACTAATTCAAGGGAGATAGTTTTCTTACACTATAAAATCCTTTGGCTGTTATATTATCAAAAAAAGATGGGGTTTTTTAAAAGCCATTTCTAGGATAGTAGCATTTAGATTTTAGTCCTGATAAAGGCTCACTTTCCATTCATAGTCAGAACCTAAATGTGCTCTTCTTGTACCTAAACAGATAATAAGCACTCAGCACACTCCCCCTTCTTGACACAACACACTGAGACTAATCACACATAATTGGAGAGGAGGAGCAGAGGGGCTGGGCAGGCTATTGTGTCCAAAGGACAAATGGTCAGTTTATGAGGCTTTTGTCTGATGCATAATTTCTTATACATCTACAGGAAGAAAAGTCCTGCTGGAAAAAGCCATACATCCACACATACAGAAAAAAAGCCTTCAACACTGAAGCAAATGAGGACTTTCCAATCATGGATAGAAAAATCAACAGTGAAATAAAAAAAAGCAGAAAAATCCAAGTATTCAATAGGTGCACTTTTAAAAGATCTTTAGACAACTATTTCCTTACTAGTTAAATGTCAATGCATTCACTTCTTTACAAGCAGTTATATAAGCCCACAAAGTATATTTTTCATATATTTTCAAATACACCTCAAAAATAGCATTTAAACAGATTAACAAAGTACATGCAAGTTTAAAGGCACAAAAGAGAAGGAAGCGAGCTTTACACCTTTGTTAATGCATAAATGTGAAGTCTGATCAGTTTTAGGCTGGAATATAACTGGAAAAATAAGTTCTAAAATGATACAAAAAA